ACACACACACACACACACACACACACACGGAATAGAAGTCTAGGACAACTGGCTGTCCTGGTGTGGTGAACACACACACACGGAATAGAAGTCTAGGACAACTGGCTGTCCTGGTGTGGTGAACACACACACACACACACACACACTGGCTGGGGAAGAAAATCTGGGCTCAGGCTGCTCATCTGCCCAGGCCTTGCTCTGTGATCGTTCAACCTACCGGAGCCGGGTACTCCTGTCCGGTGACCCTCTGGCAGGATTGTCTCAGGTACGGAAGGAGAGGTTTATAAGAGCAACATGTATCACACTGATAAGACACTGCTGGTGTTACTAAACGGGAATCTTCAACTTCGCAGCAGGTGGCAGATCGGCCTGGTGTGCCCTGTGGATTTGCCAGAACTGGGTTTCACTTCAGAGCCCTGAGTGGTGTGAGTGGTCAACATACTCAGCTGCTGGTAAAACCTTGGAGGGTCACACCCACCCAGAGGCCCCTCAGAAGGAAGCCTGCTGATCTACTTCTGAAAAGGCCATCACTATAAGCCCTGGGGAGCCCAGTTCTGTTCCGACATGCTTGAGGAAACCCCGTGTTTTGGGTCGGGTTCAAGTCGGAGCATGATCATCTGTCCCTCCTCAGGCCAGTTGCATGTCCTTGGGAGCCTTGGACTTGGCTCTGACCCACAGTGCCTGTCTGTGACATCGCAGCACGACCGACCGACCGCGTAGGGTTTTCTTGATTGAAATCTTCCTGGAAGCAGATCCCCAGGTCTTGCTTCGGCCGAGCTACTGGTAGGTTCGAACTGTCAACCTTTCAGTTGGCAGTCTAGTGCTGAAACTTTGTGCCACTCATTTATAATTTACATCTGAGCCAGTGGAGGGTTTAGCAGTTGCACGGACCCCTTTGATTGCTCAGGTGTAGATGAAGAAGGTTGGTGATAGAGCCGCCGTCGTCGTCTTCAAATGTTGTCTAAGGAACAGTGCCTGGGAAATAGTACCATTCAAGGAAGCCACTTTATCTCCACCGTGTTGTCTCCTCCTCTCCTTCAAGCTGCACCCAGCTGTTGGTACTGACTCATACAATAACTCACAGAACGAGGGCGTAGGCCAGAGAATGAGGCTCCCACCACCATCCTAGCTACTAGGCTAACACATACGTCTTGACACCCTCAGCTGGTAACCCAAAGGTTGGACGTTTAAGCCTCCCTGGACACCTCAGGAGAAAGCCTTGATGACCTGACTGCAGCCATGAAAAGCCCCACGAGACACAGTTCTACTCTGACACATGGTGGCCATGAGCCAGGTCCACTGGAAGGTGCTGGCGTTTGGTAAGTGAGTTAGTTAATTGTGCCAGCCTGGCCGATAATCACATGTGGGGCTGGTTGAAAGGTGGAGGGATAATGGGTGGTGAAGCCTCGTCTTTCTAGTTCTCGGGTCTCTTGTTTTATGATGGTTGCACCGGGTGCAGCTGCCTTAGCAGTTCCCTGCTTCAGCTTGCAAGATTGGACTTCCTACAAGACATCCCCAAGGAGAAGCTACATGGACCTATCCCGAAGCAGCCCTGGGTGCCGGAGCAGCCATGTGGAGACTCCTGCTAGTGCTGAGATGCTTGTTCATTCACTGACTCAGCTTTCCTCCTGCAGTCGGCATCATTGCCTCTGTTTTGTGAGGTGGAGGACTTTGTGGACTGGTGTTGGGTTAATGGGCTAATGTTGGACTTGTGGGCTTGGGCAGCATTG